GAACCTGTCTTAAAACACCCGGATCCGGAACAGCCTTTTGTCATCCAAGCAGACGCAAGTGATGTGGCAGTAGGAGCCGTGTTACTCCAAAAGAACAACCAAGGTGATCTACAACCCTGCGCTTACACCTCCCGCAAACTCACCGATACGGAGAGGCGATGGGCGGCGTGGGAGAAGGAAGGGTTTGCAGTAAGGTGGGCCTTGTTGACCTGGCGGCACCTTCTAGAGGGAGGCCAGAAACCATTTGAAGTCTGGACTGATCATAAAAACCTAGAGGCTCTAAAAACCCCACGAAAACTGTCGCCCAGGCAAGTGCGGTGGGCACAATACTTCAATCGTTTCAATTTCGAGCTTAAGCACATCCCAGGAGGGAGAAATTTCCTGGCTGATGCCCTCTCCCGGATGCCCCAATACAACAGTGAGCGGGAGCAGGTAGTGAATGCCATCATCCCCTCCACCCAAGCTGCGGCCCAAGTGATCACCAGACGGCAACGACGTGACCAGCAAGGCCAACTTGCAAGTGACTTAACTGCAAAATTAAAAAATGAAACGCTGACCGACCCCTGGTATCGGGACAATCAACATCTCGTGACAAAAAGAGATGAACTAGCATGGAGGGGGACAAAACTCTATGTCCCACAGAGTTTACGCATCCTGATTCTCAAGAGGAGCCACGACGTTAAACCAGCAGGACACTTCGGGTTCCTAAAGACTCTGCACCTAGTACGAAGGCAGTTCTGGTGGCCACACATGAGAAAGGACGTAGACAGTTATGTAAAAAGCTGCACCATTTGTGCCACGATGAAGACAAGGCCAGGGTGCCCGCCTGGATTGTTGCAACCAGTAGCTGAGCCAACAAGACCATGGGAGGAGATTGCAATGGACTTTATAGTAGACCTACCAAGGAGCAGTGGAAATACAGTGATCTGGACTGTAATAGACTTATTCTCCAAACAGGCACACTTCATACCTTGTAGTGGACTGCCTTCAGCCCGTCAGTTATCCAAACTGTTCCTGAAACACATTTATCGCCTACATGGAGTCCCCAGGAGAATCATTTCCGACAGAGGGGTCCAGTTCACAGCAAAGTTCTGGAGGGAGTTTCTACGATCCATAGGTTCATCCCAAGGGCTCAGCTCAGCATTTCACCCGAGCACCAATGGGGGGGCAGAAAGACTGAACGCTATGATAGAACAGTATTTAAGATGCTACGTCAACTACCAGCAGTCCAATTGGGCAGACCTCCTATCTTTTGCGGAGGTTGCATATAATAATGCTGTCCACAGCAGCACGGGGCTAACCCCGTTCAAAATAGTGAGTGGCATGGATTTTGTTCCCATGCCAGAATACCCGAGGGAGCCCCCTTCCTCAGTCAGTTTGACCGACTGGATGGCAATGTTGAGACAAACTTGGGAAAATGTTAAGAGGGCGCTGGCAAAGGCGGCTCAATCTTATAAGGACCAAGCAGACAAGCACCGAACTCCCCAAAGACCATTTCAGCTGGGAGAGAAAGTTTACCTCTCCACCAAGTACTTGAGACTTAGACTCCCAAGCAGGAAATTGGGCCCAAAATTTATAGGACCATTTCCTATAATAAAAATAATCAACCCCGTTACAGTGCAATTGCAGTTGCCACGGCTTTTGGGGAAAATTCACCCCGTTTTTCACAGTAGCCTTCTAAAACCTGTAGTGGGGTCTACTTTAAGGCCAACTCCACGTGAACCCCCTGGGCCCCTGGTTGTTGGGGGCCAAACGCACTACGAGGTGCAGCGGATTCTTGATTCAAGATGGCACAGGGGGCGCCTCCAGTACTTAATTAAATGGAAGGGTTACCCATTGTCAGAGGCTTCCTGGGTGAAGAGCGCAAACATCCAAGCTGATCGCCTTATAGCAAAATTCCATGCAGACCACCAGGGAAAGCCGGGAGGGGGGGTGCACAGCCGGGGAGGGGCTGATGAGACTAATCTTGTTGTGTTTTCCCTATGGGATAGGTGATGTTGCAGAAGTGAAGGGAGAGGGGCCGGATGTCAGCGTTCCAAATTAGGCTCTCTTCCAGCGCTGACATAACAAGATGAACTTTTACCTAGTTTTGTATGTACAGATAGTGTTTCCTGGGAGATGAAGGTGGGGGCTACATTCCTGTGAAAAGAACGTGCCGGGAGGTAGAGATGGATTTGCATGATGGCCAATGGGACATTGGGGTTGGAGAGCGGAAGAGGAGGGGGTTGGAAGGAGGGGCCAGTTTGGCTGCAAAAATGAAATCAGGATTGTCGGCTTTTTATGTTCTTAAATAAAAATGTTTCATTAGAGAGATTGCGCTTGAAAATGAAACTCATTTAAGATAGCACCGAAACCTGACACACACACTGTAAAATAGAATTGAAACCTGAACTGTTTCTTCTGGGGATTATTAGAGGAAATTACCCTAAAAGGATTGAATATTTAATTATTCATATAACTACAGCAGCAAGAATTGTACTTGCGCAAGCCTGGAAAATGTCCACTATACCAATAGACTGTGCAATAATCCAGAAAATTTTCGAATGTGCAGAAATGGACAAACTTACTTTAGAACTAAATAATAAGGAAGACTCAGAATATTACTTAACTTGGGAAAATTGGTATCAATGGATAGAAATTAAAAATAAGGAATGTATAGAATAAAATAAGATACAAAATGTGTTTAAATATCTCAATTAAGTAGGAATATGCAGGAATAGATGAACAAAGTTAAGAATTACGTTGAATTGTATAATTATTATGGATGTATTTTTGTTATAGATGTATTTTAACTTGTATTTTTGGATTTTAAATGTTAATAAAGGTTTATTTAAAAAAAACAAAAAAAAAAACAAAAAACAAATAAGCTCTAAGCTAGAAATGTCCCAGCTGCAACCAGCATAAATTGTTGAGGCACCAATTTCCAGGATGTTCATTATAGGCCATGCTGATTGAGGTTGCTGAAAATTTATTCAGCTTTTAAAAATCAGACTCCAAGCTCCCCAGTACAAGGTTGCACACTCCTGTACTTTATTTGTTTGGCATAACATATATGAATTTCCACCCACTTTGGGGTATCTTAAACAACTCAATTGAATTAGGATATCATAACATGCTTAGCTGCTGATTTCTTCCCTCCTCCCACAAATACATTCATTTTTGCCTGCCCAGATGTTACAGAGTTTGCTATTCTCTCTCCTTTTGACCCAGTTCTCCAGGATCTGAACCACCTAGTGTTTTGCTGCCATCAACCATCCAGAGCTGTGCTTTTCTTTCTGGGGATTCTGCAGATTCCTTCCTTGGCTTTGTACTAAGTGCAAGTGATTCTAAGCAATTTAAACCTTTTTATTTTGTCTGTCATCGCCAGTAAGCCTCAATTGTTAATTTGACAGAACCCAAAGAGAAAGAAATATTGACATGTAACATTTATCTGCTTCAAGCCAATTCATTGTTTCATAGGCAGAAAAAACACTACCATTTTTAAAAATGTTGCTTATATGTGTTTGTTGCTTGCATAGGCCAGATCCACCCTGAAGATAATTACTTTGGAGTTCTGCTTGATGTAACTGCTATGTATTCAATACTGAATGAATTTCTCATCAGGATGTAACATTAATAATCTATATTCCTGAGTCCTGGCTTCTCATATCATTAACAAACTACATATAAGTTTGGAGCTTAGTTATCTTAGAACTAATTTCAAAGGGATATCCATCCATTTCAAGTTTTCAATTTTACTTGTGAATCCTGCTTACATAACACTTGTTTGGCAGGTGTAAACCTTAAATGGCTTTCAACTAAACAGTAAATTAATTTTCTTAATTATATTAATAAAAATATGAATTAGGATTTTTGCTCTACAAAAGTCAAGCCATTCAAAATCAAAATGCTAAGTATATAGAGTAGAAATAGGGAATTGGCTGCCCTGGTGCAGGCTAGTTTTGATGCTTTTCCTCAGCTCGAGACTATTTAGGCAAGATACACTGTAGCTTTGGATGCACTGCAGTTCCTTGGGTTTGGACTAGACTGGCCACAGGAATCCTGATGTTGTGCTGCACCCAACATCATCCTCTGGATATTCATATGGGCCCCACCTTGCCTGCCTTTAACTAGTCTTTAAATGACTCTTCCTCCAAGCCTTGAGGCTGGGCAGACCATTTTAAGTGGAAGGAAGGGTGGAAAGTTGGTTCTGTTCTCTTGGACAGGAGTTGTTTTATGTATGGCTCTTTTTCCATGTATTGCTCTCTGTATTTGTAGACTTAATATCTACTGAAAAATTGCTCCCAGCATATTATAGACTTTCATTTATCCAGTCTTTCCTATATATTGTGCTATTCTATAGCTAAAGTATTTTATCATTAGAAAAAGAAAATAAATAAATTTATTTATACGTTTTAATGCCAAGGATAGTCATTCATGCACTCATGTAATAGTCCAGCAGCACTGTTCGAGGGGGTAGCTCCCATTACTTGCCCTAGCTCAAGTTCCAAAGCTTGCAAATGTGAGTAGATAAATTGTTGCCACTTCAGTGGGAAGGTAACAGTATTCTGTGCGTTTCAGCATATAGCAATGGCAGCCATGACCATGGAAACATCTTCGGACTATGCTGAAGATGGCTCCCTTGTCTAAGAAACAGAGATGAGCACAGCTCCCTAGAATTGGACATGACTGCATAGGGGAAATTGTTACTATTTTAAAAAATCCTTGGTAAAATTGCATTTTGCAGAAGAGTTACTTTCTTTAGAATAGGTATACTAGAAATTTCCCTAAGCATTATGTGTTCATTTACAAATGCATAGTAGTATTGGAAAATCAATCAATATAGCTATTTTTCATTCTCCCAATAAGTATATTGAATTCGTATTTAACCTGTTGTAGATAATTTGATACTGCTTCTGTGGATCCTTACAGAGAATTGTATTCTCCATGTACATTAGTAATAAGTGTAAATTGATTGTAGTGTATCACAACATGAAAAAGGAACAGTAGAATACAGTGAGTTTTTAGTAAACATTCTTCATTCTTAATGGATCTTATATTGATAGGTATACAGTTATAAAAATATAATAAAAATACATGGCAAGAGAAATAAAAACTAACCAAAGAAATCAAAAGAATATAAAAATTTAAACTGTATGGTTGAACTAGAGCATTTAAAATTTTGCCCCACAAAAGAAATTCATACTAATTAAGGGGCGCACAATCCAAAAGTTGAGGTGGAACCATCTTATTAAAGCAAACTCATATTCAAGCAGGTTAAATGAGACGTGCATTTTAAGAGCTAGAACCAAAAGGCAGGAAATGCAGAGAGGTAAGAAAACAATTTCTGAGATGCAACGGTTATTGGTTCATGATGAATGTTTCCAACCTTTGCCAGTCACAGCTGGGTTGATGCAGAATATACTTTCCATTTTGATTTTTTAATTTGAATTCTCCTCAGGTCATAAAGATTGGTCTACAATCTGTGAAATATTGGCAGCTGGAATTAAAAAAGGGTCATTTCTTTTTGTTTAAAAAACAGACCCTTTCCTTCCAATAGGATCTTTTACTGCAGCCCTTCTTGTCTTCCAGGATCCAAAAATTTGACTAGATGAAACAGGCTACTGTACAGTAGCCCTAGGAGTAGCTGAAAAGTGCCAGAAGATGGCACTCTATGCCTAGTAAGAATGCTTTTCAGAGTCACTGTATCTCAGTATACCATTCCATCTTGCATGTTTTTCTAAGCTCTTCCCTCAACAGGTGTGCACATTTTGAAGTAGCAAAAGACTCACATGGTAGCATCTAAAAAATAGGAGAGAAGAGAAAAAACTAAAATGAACTTACTGCAATTTTAATGGTAAAAGTCTCATTAAATTTAAGGTTTCCAAAACATCTCAAATAGCAAAACTTTAGAGCAGCACAGAGTGCCTTCCATCAAATCCAGGGTGGGGGCAAGATAATCAGCCAAAGATGAATTTTGCCTGCATTAAAATCTGGAGAGTGATGAGCCCATAAACATGTGATAGAAATGTGATGTGCTCTAGCTGAAGTATTTACTATAGTTAACTAGAAAGGCATATTGGAGCTTTTTCTCTAATATTATGAGAAGTAATCTTAAAGTTCTCAATGCTTTGAGAAATTTTTTTTTTTATTATTTTTTTTTTAAATTTGATTTATATGCCGCCCTTCTCCGAAGACTCAGGGCGGCTTACAGTGCGTTAAGCAATAGCCTTCATACTTTTGTATATTTATACAAAGTCAGCTTATTGCCCCCACAAACTGGGTCCTCATTTAACCTACCTTAGAAAGGATGGAAGGCTGAGTCAACCTTGAGCCTTGGAGAGATTCGAACCAGCAGTAAATTGCAGGCAGCTGTGTTAATAACAGGGTGCTTTAAACCACTGTAGTACCAAGGCTCTTTATCTCAAGATTAATCAAGATTACCCAGTAAATTGTAAATTATTTTTTAAAAATAAATATTTTAGACCACTTGTCCTGGCTCATAGCAACTGACAAGCAAACATACTTTAATTGATAAAATGAAACAATCACTTACTAAAATATTTCAGATAATAAAAATCAACTACCTATATGTAAGATGGGAAATTTGGGATAGGAGTTTATCTTTTGTCAAGAAAATCCTGAACTAAAGGAGATCAGTGAAGAAACTACAAATGTTTTGAACAACCAACAAATTAAGTATAAATTGCTTGGCAATATGGCTACTTATTGAATTCTACAGCCATCAAACATAGAGTGCCTATTTCTGTCTTGTTTCATAAATTTTGTATATACAAGTAAGCTGCAGAATTCTGCATAGAGCAGAAGGAAATAAGAACAAATTTCTTAGGACCAGAGCAGTTTGCAATGTCAATGCTGGAGTATAGTATAACCAAGAAAGAAAACCCTCATCTCTGGCTATTCTCTACACAGGCCAAATCAGCAATGAAAATATGTGTAAGCAAAACTGGAATAATGGTTGGATCCAAGACAGAATTTAAGAAGCCCAGATTCAAATCACACCATAGTCATCATGGAAGTAATTGGATGGCTTTAAATATGTAATAAAAAATTCAAATCTGAATATGACTTCATCACACAGTTGGACACTCCTACAACTGTAGTGATGTCATTGTCTTTTTCTCAATATTTCCCATTAGATTATTTTAGGATAAAATTGAAAGTGAAAATACTGTGCATGCCACCCTTAGATGCCCGAGCAAAGAACGGGTCACTTTCATTTGCTCTCTCTATATAACAAATAAATAACTGGAACAGATCACTATCAATTCCCCACTATTCCCCAGATTAAATAATAAACATAAATAGATTATAGAGCCTGAAAAAATAATGTAATGTTTGGTCTTTGTAGACCAAAGAGTCTGTCTTTGGTCTAAATAATGCAAGGAAAATGGGCAATACAGAGCTGGTTGGTCAAACTGATTGATTAGAATCTTACCTGCTGACTGAGTGTTACAAGAGACTTCGTAAGAGAGCCATATACTTAGGAAGCACATAAATGTAGCTAAGAATCCAAAAACCTATTTAAAAAAAAAAAGCATCAGCAAAGGAGCCATACATAAAAATATCTTACATTAAATTTCTATAGATTATAAGTAATATTAAACAGCCTTTAACATTTCAAAGAATGTATCTATTGTTAGTAATAAATGGTTAGTAATAAATACCCAAATAGACATTTACTGCAAGTACTGTCAAATGCATAATTTTTGTCCTCCCACTCTATTATTCCAACCAGCAGAAATCTGCTTACAAATTACTGTCTTTAAGTACAGTAGCAATTGGAAAGAGTGAATTTTGTCCACTATCACCTTTCCAAGACAGATTTTCTTTTTTTCTTCCATGTAAGCCATAGAATAGAATAACAGAGTTGGAAGGGACCTTTGAGATCTTCTAGTCCAACCCCCTGCTTAGGCAGGAAACCTTACACCATTTCAGACAAATGGTTATCCAACATCTTCTTAAAAACTTCCAGTGTTGGAGCATTCACAACTTCTGGAGGCAAGTTGTTCCACTGACTTAATTGTTCTAACTATCAGGAAATTTCTCCTTAGTTCTAAGTTGCTTCTCTCCTTGATTAGTTTCCACCCATTGCTTCTTGTCCTGCCCTCAGGTTCTTTGGAGAATAGCTTGACTCCCTCTTCTTTGTGGCAGCCCCTGAGATATTGGAACACTGCTATCATGTCTCCTCTAATCCTTCTTTTCATTAAACTAGACCGGGTGTCGGCAACCCGCAGCTCTGGAACCTCATGCAATTCTTTGGGCCCCTTGCTATGGCTCCCTGCTGAACTGGATCCCACCATTGGCTGGCCCCGTCTCTCGCCCTCCCCGCTCAGTCACTCCTCATCTGAGAAGGTAAGAGCAACGGCAGTGGATGGAGGCTTGCTCCATATTCCAGAGCAGGAGTGAAGTGGCCCTGTATTTGCCTTTTTTTCCAGCCCTTGTTGGTGCTGCGCACACCTCGGTTGCTTGGGGAAATGCACAACTTTCTCTCCGCCCTGAGACCCTGGTCTGCCTGGCAGGGGCTGACGCCAGTGTTCTCACTACCTCCATGGCCTGCTCGCTGCTAAATTTGGAGCCCATTACTATGTGGAGCAGCGGCTGCAGCTGGGCCAGGCCAGTGTCTCGGGGCGGAGAGAAAGTCATGCATCTCCCTGAGTGAACAATGCTGTGTGTCATAATGGGCTCCAGGAGGAGCAGGGGACATTGTCTCCCCTATTGTGAAGCATGCTAAATTTAAGTGTGCTGCGCAAGGTGCTGCAAGAGCAGCAAGCAGGCCATGAAGGCAGCGGGAGCTCCTGTGTCAGCCGCCAATGCCTCAGGGCGGAAAGAAAGTTGCACGTCTCCCCAAGTAACCGAGGTGCGCGCAGCACCAACAAGGGCCAGAAGAAGAGGCAAGTACAGGGCCACTTTGTTCCCGCTCTGCAATATGGAGCGAATCTCCATCTGCCACCATCGTCCTTACCTTCTCAGGCAAGGAGTGACTGTGAGGGGGAGGGGTGGGGCCAGCCAGCAGGAAGCCACAGCAGGGGGATGAAACAGCTTCCTTTATCTGGGAACCTGAAATGACTCTTGATTTAAATCATATTGTAAAAAGAACCCAAAGAAGAAGAAAGAACAATTGCAGGAAAAGAAAAACAAAAACCCTCGCCCATTTTTGAAAATGGTTCAAGAGGAAACACACACACACACACACACACACGACAGACAGAGAGAAAGAGAGATGTGTGTGAGAGAGAGAGACAGAGATGAGAGAGATGAAAGGAAGAAAGAGGAGGGGGAGAAAGAGGAGGAGGAGAGAGAAAGAAAGACTGAGAGAGATGAGACAGAGATGAGAAAGAGAGAGAGAGAGACCGAGAAAGATAGAGATGAGAAAGAGACCGAGAGAGAGAAAGACATGAGAGAGAGATGAGAGGGGGGAGGGGGAGAGAGAGAGAGAAAATGAGATTTGTCACGGAAAAAACACCGGGAACCACAAAACCTGGGTAGGCATGGCTGGGTGTGTGTGTGTGTCATGTGGCTAGTGGGAGTGAGTGATGTTGAGTTGGCCATGCCCACCCAGGTTTTGTGGCTCTTTGTTTGTGTTTTCTTTTCTGTGGGAAACAGGTCTAAATGGCTCTTTGAGTGTTTAAGGTTGCAGACCCCTGAACTAGACATACCCAGTACCTGCAACCATTCTTCATGTTTTAGCCTCCAGTCCCCAAATCATCTTTATTGCTCTTCTCTGCACTCTTTCTAGAATCTCAACATCTTTTTTACATTGTGGCGACCAAAACTGGATGCAGTATTCAAAGTGTGGCCTTACCAAGGCATTTATAAAGTGTTAACACTTCGCATGATCTTGATTCCATGTTGGCTTTTGGTTATTACTTTATTGCTTCTAGGTGTACGCTGATTCGTTGCTTGATTATCTTTTCCAGAATCTTCCATGGTATTGAAGTCAGGCTGATATTTCTGTAGTTTCCTGGATCTATTTTTTTTTCCTTTTTTGAAGATGGGAACTACATCAGCTCTTTTCTAGTTCTCTGGAAGTTCCACAGTGGTCCAGGATCTTTGAAAGATATAGTTTAGTGGTTCTGATATCTCATCTGCCAGTTCCTTCAGAACCTTGGGATGTAATCCATCTGGTTGGTCCTGGTGATTTGAACTCATTTAGGGTAGACAGGTCCTCACGTACCATTTTCTTCCCTATTTTAACTTGTGTTCCTAATCTGTTTTTTGTGGTGCTGTTTTTGGTAGGTTGGACTGTTTTTTCCCTTTGTGTAAAAACAGATCCAAAAAATGAGTTAAGTAGTTCTGCTTTCTCCCTGTTGCTTGTCACCTTCTTGCCACTTTCTCCCAGCAATGGACCAATTGTTTCCTTGTTTTTAATATGTTGGAAGAAACATTTTTTTTTGTTATTTTTTACTTTTGTCGCAAGCCTTTGTTCATTGTGAGCCTTAGCTTTCCTCACTTCATCTTTGCAGGCTCGGGCTATTTGCTGATATTCTGCCTTAGTTATGTGCCCCTCTTTCCACTTTTTATACTTGTTCTTTTTGTCTTTCAATTTGTCAGAGAGTTCTTTATGCAGCAATGCTGGTTTCTTCTGAAAGCTGTTATTTTTCTTTTTGATTGGCATTGTGCTAGACTGGGCTTTTATAATCTCACTTTTCAAAATTTCCCAAGCTTCTTGAGTTGTTTTCCCCTTGAGAATTCTCATCCACAGAATCCTTCCCAAGTTTATTGAAATTAGCTCTCTTAAAGTCCAAGACTCTAGTTTGACTTTGTTCCACTACTTGTGCTTGCATAATGTTGAATTCCAATATTGCATGATCACTTGCCTCCAAGGTTCATGTAGCTTCAACAACTTCTATCGTTTCATCTTTGTTAATGAGAATTAAGTCCAATATGGCTGATCCCCTTGTTCCCTTCTCTACTTTTTGGGAAACAAAGTTGTCTGCTAGGTTTGTTAGGAACCTGTTGGATTTTCCACTTGGTGCAGAGTTTGTCTCCCAGTTGATGTCAGGATAGTTAAAATCCCCATTACTATTGTGATGTGCTTCCTACATACCTTAGTTAGCTGACTAGCAAAATGTTCATCTATTTCCTCTGTTTGGTTTGGTGGCCTATAGTATAGACCTATGGCAATGTCATCTCCCCCCCCTTTAATATTGACCCAAATGCATTCAAGATAATTTTCATCATTGTTGTGCTCTATTTCTATAGATATGTAGTTATTTCTTATATATAGTGCAACTCCACCTCCTCTTTTATTCGATCTATTTCTTTTAAATAATTTAAATCCCTCTAGTTGTATGTTCCATTTGTGGGTTTCATCCCACCAAGTTTCAGTAATGGCAACAATATCATTACTGCCATTACAACATCTGCCCTCATTTACTTGAATTTCTAATTCACCCTGTTTATTCCTCATACCCTGTGCATTGTGTATAGACATCTGTGTCCATTTTGATTGACCCTGTGTTTACATATCCTGTGTTGTGCCTGACTGCCCCTACTTTCTTGCCACCTGTTTGATTAGTGCACATGGTATGGCACTCACTATTAAATGCTTGGTTTTACTTGACAGCAAGGTTGATAATCTTACCCGCACAAACATGTTACATGCAATGATAAACCTATTAATTTTAGATTGCTGGGGACAGAAATGTTCTGTATCAATTAATAGCAGAATGCATTTTCAGTATAATTGTAATGAAAACACAGTGATTGAAAGGGATGGGAGAAGAGAGTTTTTTTTTTCTTTTAATCTGTTTCTATTATGTGTGATGAGATTGAGAAATTGAGGGTATGAGAGCCCTGTAACAGGCTGCTCAGCAACTAGAGCAAAAAGTTGTAAATCTGTTTTTAAAATGTGTCCAGTACCAATGATTATTTAGCATGCATTCAGCAAGCTGATTCATTAAACATTAAGTTTAGAGTTCAAATTTAACTATTTTATTAATATTGCATGTACTCTGCAGTACTGCATGCACTCTGCAATACTAGGTAAAAGACCAAACCACAAATAGCTGTTACTCAGAAATTTTGAAATCTTCATGACCTCAGAAACTCTGTACAGTATTGCAGAATCTTGTAACAGAATGGAATTTTAAAGAATGGCATTATTTAATTTGGGCCAAAATTACAGGCCAATTTCCCATAGAAAAGAAAACACCGGGAGCCACAAAACCTGGGTGGGCATGGACAACTTGACGTCATTCACTCCCACCAACTAAATCCCACTTTAGGACAAAGGAGTGCACACTAGAAACGTGTGTTGGGGCGACATCGGAGCGCGCCTTCTGACCCTCCAACATTTGGCCCACAACTCTCCATGCTCCTCCAGGCCTAGATTGCTGAGAAGGGGGTGAGCAGCCCTGATGCCTCTGTTCCCGCCCCTCCCATGGCCCCACCCATTGCTGCCCGGCTTCCTCAAAGGCGCGGCACACTTGAAAGGCAGCAGCTCGCGTCTGGAGATGCTGAACATTGTCCTGCTGTGAGAGCTGGGCCAGGCCTTTCCACCATCTGACTCGCCAATGGGGGCGCTTCTGCTGGACCAGCCTCCCCTCCCCACTGGGCTTTTGTGCTTGGCCAGGGGAGGGGAGCGCTTCCTCATGCTGCCCCCTTCTTTCTCTTGCCCCCACCGATGAGGGAGGAGGAAGGTTGCCCAAATGAAGTCTCCACCGCTGCTCGCGCTCGTTCCTCAGTGCACGCACACATACACACACTGACCCCCAGGGTGGGTGTGCGAGGTTCGTCAGGGCCAGGCCCCTTTTCCCATTGGCCTGAACTTCTTAAAGCTGTGACTGGGCACTGCAAGCCCATCCTCCTTTCCATCGTCTGACAGTTTCTGACAGACAGTAGTCCAGTCTCTTCTTGAAAGCTTCTAGTGGTGAAGCACTCACAACTTCAGAAGGCAAGATGTTTCATTGGTTGATTGTTCTCATTGTCAGAAAATTTATCCTTATTTCTAGTTTGAATCTCTCCTTGATCAGTTTCCATCCATTATTCTTTGTCTGGCTTTCAGGTGTTTTGGAAAATAGGTTGACCTCCTCCTCTCTGTGACAGCCGCATAACTATTGGCACACTGCTTATGTCTATCCTTCTCTTCACTAGACTAGACATGTCCAGTTCCTGTAAGCGTTTGTCATGTTTTAGTTTCCAGTTCTCTAATCATCTTTGTTGCTCTTCTCTGCACTCTTTCTAGTCTCAACATCTTTTTTATAGTGTGGTGACCAAAACTGCATGCAGTATTCTAGGTGTGGTCTTACTAAGGCTTTATAGAGTGGTATTACTCACTTGATCTTGATTAAATACCTTTGTTAATGCAATTTAGGATTGCATTGTCTTTTATGGCTGCTGCCACACACTATTCACTCATATTTAATTGGTTGTCCACTAAAGCTCCAAGATCCTTCTCACAATTACTGCTATTAAGCCTGGTTTCTCCCAATCTATATGTGTATTTTTGGTTTTTCTTGCCTAAGTGTAAGACTTTACTTTTCTCTATATTGAATTTCATTTTGTTAGTAAGGGCCCAGTATTCAAGTCTGTCAAGATCCATCTGGATCCTGAGCCTATCATCTAGGGTGTTGGCTATTCCTGCCAGCTTAGTATCATCTGCAAATTTGATATGTTCCCTTTCTATTCCCTCATCTAAGTTGTTTATGAAGATATTGAAGAGTACTGGGCCTAAGATGGAACCTTGTGATACCCCACTGCTTACTTCCCTCCATATAGATGTAGTACCATTAAGGACTACTTGTTGAGTACGGTTTGTCAGCCAGTTACAAATCCATCTGATTGTGATGCTATCTATCCCACTTTTTTCTAGCTTACCAAGAAGTAGGTTTCTACCTTGTTGAATGCCTTGCTGAAGACTGTTGTGGCCTGTCAGCGGCCTGTGCAGATTGTAGCTGATTCCAACAATGAGGAGGCTGGTGTGGTGCTGCATCAGCAGCCTGTGCAGTTGGCGCTCGAGTCGGACAGTGAGGAGGCTGGAGAAGATGTGATCCAGAGGCAGGGATTCAGCTAGGGCCTTCAGAACCTCCAGAAGCTCCTTTAAGTGAAGAGGACGAAGAGGAGGAGCCTTTTCTCAATGCATGGGCGTGCAGAGCTGCCAAAAGGCAGGAGTGGCTCCTCAGGAGGAGGTCTCCTCGAGAGTAAGGCTTGGGGCTAATTGGCCACTCCCTTAGCCTACTTAAAAAGGAACGCCTCTTGCAACAAGCTGTAGAGAACTTTAGTTCATTCTCCTTCGTGTCTACAAAATTGCTTCTGGGCTTTCTGCCAACTCTAGTAAGACTGTGATTACCTTATCTTAGAATTCTGGTAGGCTGTTAAGACAGTTCATTAACAGCCTTTGAATGATAAAGACTAAGTTATTTGAGTAAAATAAGCTTTGTATAGAGTTTGTGTGTGCTGCGTTCTTTGGGGTCCGTAGCTGGGGCAGAACAAAGACTAAGTATGCTATGTCCACAGCATTTTGCTGGTTAACTAATTTAGTCACTATGTCAAAGAATGAAATAAGTCTGGTTTGGCATGATCTGTTTTTAACAAACCCATGCTAATTTCTAGTTATTACTTTACTCGTTTCTAGATGTTTGCAGATCTGTTTTTTGATTATCTTTTCCAGTAACTTCCCAGATATTGATGTGAGTCTCATTGATCTGTAGTTTCCTGGATCTGTTTTTTCTCTCCCTTTTTTGAAGATGGGAACCACATCAGCTGATTTCTAGTCCTCTGGTAGTTTCCCAGTTCTCCAAAATTTTTGAAAGATACTTTACAGTGATTCTGAGATAACATCTGCCTTTAGAACTCTGGGATATAATATATCAGGGCCCGGTGATTTATATTGATCAACATCAGACAGGTGTTTTCTTACCATTATTTTGCTTATTTTAACTTTTATTTCTAATCTGTCTTTTACAGTTATGTTTTTGGTAGATTGGGCTATAGTTTCTTTTTGCATGAAGACTGATGCACAGAATGAGTTAAGCAGCTCTGCTTTCTCTCTGCTGCCTGTTACTTCCTTGACATCTTCTTTCTTTAGTGGACTGACTCCTTGATTTTTTTTCTTGTTATTTATATGTTGAAAGAAACTTTTTAAAAAAATTATCTTTGACTTTTGTTGCAAGTCTTTGTTCATTCTGAGCCTTTGCTTTCCTGACTTTGTTTTTGCAGATTCTGGCTATTTGCAGATATTCTGCCTTAGTTATGTTTAGTTATCTTTCCATTTTTTGTACTTGTCCATTTTGTCTTTCAGTTTATCAAAGAGGGTGACTTATTGGTCACTGATTTTTTTTTTTTTGAAATGTCAGAAATGTTTATTTGTACATTTTGAGTAGTTTATTATTCTCACTTTAACAGATACAAATAAACGAATGTGATGGACAATTTTTCATTTAGTTGCATAATAATTCTTTATACTAATAGTTGCCCAATAATTGTGCACAAATAAATATTCTCCTAAGAAAGCCAAAACCTCATTTTTACTTTCTTAAATATCCAGGTTCATTTACTCATTTGGATTGACCGAGAGCACTGTAGTTATTCAATAATAAAATTAATCCTCCAAAATATGACTTGTCTAATAATTGTGTGCACAGTGCAGATTTTGATAATGGAGGATTAGAGCAATAGTGGGAAAAAGCAATGTTAAATATCTTTTCCAGTATTTTTTAAGATCTAACATATCCAATCCTCAATCAATATATTGACTCTCTTTTCTTTTAGTGTGCTTATTATGGGAAAAAAACTTGACATATATTTTAAACTCTGATAAATAAAGTTGCTTATATGTAACAAAAAATGGCAAACAGCCTCACCGCTCCAGCTACCAGGCCTGCTGAATTGGAGCTTTTTGCAACTGCCACAATGGATGCAATAAGAAGCAGAATAGTACCTATTAGGTAATGAAGAAACTCCTAAAATGAAACAAAGGTAATGTAGTTTAGAAGAAAAGCTACAAAGATTCTGTATTTTACATCAAAGGAACATTTCAGTGTGACTGAAGCCCCAAGTATAGCTAATGAGTTACAGAATAAGTAACTCATTAGCTCAGAATAATACATGTAACAGAATAAGAAAGTTGGAATGGACCTTAGAGATCTTCTAGTTCAACCCCCTACTTAAGCAGGAGACCCTATACCAGGGATGTCAAACTTGATTTCATTGAGGGCCGCATCAGGGCTGTTCAGCCTCTGGGGGTTGGGATGGGCGTGGCCAGGATGGGTGTGGCCAGCTCAACGTCACTTGTGTCGGGGGCGCCTATTGTGGCCTGAGTGCTCTGTCAGCGAAAACAGGCTCCTGAGCTCCGTTTTCAGCTGCCACACTCTCCTGCAACCCTCTGGCCTTGAGTTTTACACCTCTGCCCTATACCATTTCAGATAAATGGTTGTCCAATCCCTTCTTAAAAACCTCTGTTTTGGAGCATCCACAACTTCTGGAGGCAAGTAATTCCACTGATTAATTGTTCTCACTGTAGGAAATTTCTCCCTAGTTCTAGGTTGGTTTCCTCCTTGATTAGTTTTCATCCATTGTTTCTTGTCTTGCCTTCTGGTGCTTTGGAAAATAGATTGATCCATTGCCTTTGTGGATCAGGTGCCTTAGGTGTTGGAACACTGCTGTTATATCACCTTAATGTTTCTTTTCATTAAACTAGACATACCCAATTATTGCAACCATTCTCCATATGGTCTCAGTGCAACCACCTGTCAATTAGACCCTTGTCCTTCCTGGCTGGTGAAAGCATGCAGGATGGTGACCAGCAGATGGGTTCATGCAATACAAATTTCTCACTGCAAGAGGAAATATTCCCAGGACATTCTAAAGATGCCATGGTTTGTTCTTTCCTTAAAAAAACCTTCAATTGAACCCATCTGCTTAGACAATTTTTATTCAGTTTCCTATATTCTCTTTTTTGGGGAAGGTGGTGGGAAAGTTGGTTGCTTGACAGCTCTGGGGGTTCTGGATGAAACAAATTTCCTGGACTCCTTTCAGTCAGGCTTGGCTCTGGCACAGAGACAGTTTTGGGCACACTCATGGACAATTTCTCTCGGGGATGGGATGGGAGTAGTGCAACCATTCTCACTTTACTTGACCTCTTAGTAGCCTTTGATATCATTGACCATGATATTCTTTTGGGACAGCCACATGAGCTGTGAGTGGATGGCATACTTTTGTGCTGGTTCAACTCCTTTCTCCAAGGCTGGTCCCAATTGATGTAGATAGGATTGAGAGATCCAGCCCCCAACTGCTCACTTGCTGTGTCCCGAAGGGCTCAGTACTCTCTCCTTTCCTGTTTAACATCTACATATGAAGCTACTGAATGAGATCATCACCATGGGTTGAGATAGCATCTATATGCTGATGATACCCAGCTCTCCATCTCTACACCTGGTGACTCGAATTATGCTGATCCTGCTCTCTCATGGTGCCTGAAGTGACCTGGATAGGGACAACAGACTTTGATTGAACCTTGGCAAGACTGAATGCCTTCACAGTGCATGGAGCCTCTGGATCTATGTTTTTGTCATCCTTAGTCCTGGACAGGGTTGCACTATCTATTCAGACCCAGTTTGCAATTTAGGGGTCCTCCAGGATGTACATTTCCTGCTCAAAGAACAGGTAGCAGGCCTGACTGAGAGACCTTTTGTATAGTCCGTTTGTGCACCAGCTGCAAACTTTCCTGGATTATGAATCCCTGTGCTCAGTTATTCAAATCCTAGTCATCTCTCATCCCGACTACTGCAATGCACTCTACATGGGCTACCCTTTAAATCTATTGGGAAGCTTTAGTTGGTGCAAAGTGGGGAAGTGAGAGCAGGGACTCTAGGATGATCCATATTACACCTCTGCTCCACAAACTTCATTGGCTAATGGTCTGCTTCTGAGTACTGCTAAAGGTATTGATTATGATCTTTAAAGTCCTTAATGGCATAGATCCAGGCTACCTGATGAACTGTCTCATCCCACTAAGGCAAGCCTGTCCTACTTGTGCTGGCAGACAGTCTATTTTGGATACTGTCGATCAAAGAACTTTGACTATCAGAATCCAGAAGGGCAAATACTGCACCATCTCTGCTGCAGTGCCCACCCTTTGGAACATCCACCTCTCAAGGGTAATATCTGCCCCATCCTCTACTCTTCTGTAGGAGCCTGAAGATCTGGCTCTGTTAATTGTCCTGGAACCAAATGGGGGAGTTTTGTGCTGAAGGTGGCTGCTGGATTGATGGCAAATTCCGCCTCCTCCTCTTGGTCTCCACCCATCCATCGCTTTATTATCATATTGATGTATTCTCATTTTATTGTTCAGTATTTATTCATTTTCATCTAGTTACTCTTTCCTGAATGAAAGACAGAAGGGGAAAATACCATTCTAATAAAATGGATATGGTTGTTACTCCACTGCCTTGTTTAAAAGTAATTATGGAAGCACGTATCATTTTTCTCTCTTTGGACAGTTACTATTCATCCTCTGCCAATGACTACTCTATGAGATCACCAGACAACCCATGATCCTTTCATTCATCTTTGCAGAGATATTTCCTTACCAGATTCTTAATGCCTTCAAAAATGACAAGGCTTCTAATGTACTTGAAAAGTTTTTTTTTTCTTTAAAGATTCAAAGAAATATTCAGAAATGTATTAGTTAATTGTTCTCACTGTCAGGAGAGTTCTTCTTAATTCCAGGTTGCTTCTCTCCTTGATTAGTTTCCATCCATTGTTTGTTCTCTTGCCTTTTGGTGCTTTGAGGAATAGGTTGACCCCTTCTTCTTTCTTAAGAAGATGCCAGGAATCACTGTCATTTCCTGTCTCCCAGAGTTTGCCCAAACCCATGTTCATCGCTTCATTGACACTCTCTAACCATGTTGGAAGATTAACCCCTCAGGTCAGAAGGTGTCCAATATGCTGCTGGGGAAGAGAACAGGGCTAGTACTAGTAGTGCAAGAAAGAGTGAAGTGACTGGGTCAAAGCCGAAAGGACGCTCAGCTGTGGATGCATCTGGGGATGAAAGGAAAGTGCGATGCTGTAAAGATCTATTCTCCATAGGAACCTGGAATGTGAGATCCATGAATCAAGGCAAGCTGGATGTGGTCAAACGAGATAACAAGACTGAACATCAACATCTTAGGAATCAGCAAACTAAAATGGACAGGAATGGGTGAATTTAATGACCATCAGGTATACTTTTGCGGGCAAGAATCTCTCAGAAGAAATGGAGTAGCTTTCATAGTCAATAAAAGAGTAGGGAAAACAATACTGGGATACAATCCCCAAAATGACAGAATGATTTGCTTGAACCCAAGGCAAACCATTCAATATCACAGTAGTCCAAGTCTATGCCTCTACCACTGGAGCTGAAGAGGATGAAATTGACCGGTTCTATGAAACCCTACAGCACCTTATAGAATTAATACCAAAAAAATGATGTCCTTATCATTATGGGGTATTGGAATGCTAAAGTAGGAAGCCAAAAGATAACCGGAATAACAGGCAAGTTTGTCCTTGAAGTACAAAATGAAGCAGGGCACAGACTGATAGAATTTTGTCAAGAGAATACGATAGTCATAGCAAACACTCTTTTCCAACAACCCAAGAGACGACTCTACACATGGACATCACCAGATGGTGAACACAGAAATCAGATTGACTATGTGCTCTGCAGCCAAAGATGGAGAAGCTCTATACAGTCAGTAAAAACAAGACCAGGAGCTGACCTGGAGAAGCTCAGATCATGCAAAATTTAGGCATGAACTAAATCATATCCCTGATGAATATACAGTAGACGTGACAAATAGATTTAAGGAATTAGATCTGAGAGACAGAGTGCCTGAAGAACTATGGATGGAGGTTTGCAACATTGTACAAGAGGTAGCAACTAAAACCATCCCAAAGAAAAAGAAACGCAAGAAAGCGAGGTTGCAGACAGACCCAGGGAACTTAAAACTAGTTGAGAAGAAGAAAATAACCCGACACCAGTTAAACCTATTAGATCAGGAAGAATTGGCTACTAAAATTAGATGGGCAAAACAAAGGCATTTTGAGCATGCAAATAAAGCAGGAAAATGGCTTACTTATAGACTGAAGAAGCAACAGGAGAGAAATAGGATAGTTTGTTTGAAGGACCAAAGGGGAAGATGTGTTTCGGATAAGGAAGGGAAAGGAAAAATAATACAAGAATATTTTACTGCTTTGTATTCAGCTGGAGATGAACAGGACCAGGAGATTAGAGAGTATTTGGCTAGAGCGGATCCCCAGAAGGTCCCACCCCCAATGAGAGAAATATTGAATGCAGAGATTACCTTGAAGGAAGTAGAGTTAGTATTAAGGGAACAAAAGGGGGGAAAGACCCCAGGTACAGATGGTCTGCCAGTAGAAATTTATAAGGCCCTCCTTGAGACTTTGGGGGAATTTTTGACTCAAGTATTTAATGAGGTTCTGGTCTTTGGTCAAATGCCACCCTCCTGGTCTGAAGCATATATTACACTAATTCCAAAGGAAGGCACTGATCCGCTTCTGATTAAAAATTACAGACCGATTTCCCTGCTTAATTCCGATTATAAATTATTCTCTGCGATTTTAGCGAAGAGACTAAAAATTTTCCTGAATGAGTACATCCACGGAGACCAGAATGGCTTCCTACCTCATAGACAATTGAAAGATAACGTGAGAACTATAATGAATATATTAGAATATTATGAGTGTAATTCTGATAAACAGGTGGCCCTGGTCTCCGTGGATGCACAAAAAGCCTTTGACAGAGTGAGCTGGAAATTTCTCTTTGCACAGTTGAGCGAAATGGAATTCGGGGAAAGATTTACCAGGGCAATCCGGACAGTATACGCAAAACAGACAGCGAAAATACTTATTAATGGGGAGGAGTCTGAAAAAATTGATATAAGTAAAGGTACTAGACAGGGATGTCCATTATCTCCACTTTTATTTATTTTAACCCTAGAGTTATTATTGAATGAGGTCAGAAGAAATCAAGGAATTAGAGGGCTAAGAAACAGAGGGGAAGAGTTTAAGCTCCAAGCCTTTGCGGACGACTTGATATTTGTCTTGGAAGAACCTTTGGAATCGGGACCAATCCTGCTATAGGAATTGGAGGCTTACGGGAAAGTAGCGGGATTTAAATTAAATAAAGATAAAACCAAGATCCTAATTAAAAATATGACGAAGAATCAAAAAGCACAGTTAGAGGAAGAACTAGGGATCCAGATAGTCAAAAAACTAAAATACTTAGGAATTTGGCTTTCATCTAAATGCTCGACCATTAAAGAAGACAACTACTAAAAACTACTTAGTCAAACTAAAGAAATGTTGGAAGGATGGAAAAGTTTACAGCTATCATTATTAGGTAGAATTGCAGTAGTTAAGACGTATATCCTGCCTAAATGGATTTTTCTCTTTCAGACAGCCCCAGTTTTAGTAGATACAAATTTTTTTCATTCTTTAGATCAGTGTAGATTTGTATGGCAGAATAAAAAACCAAGGATTAAATTGAAAATGCTTCAAGAATCCCCTTCCAGGGGAGGATTTGGCCTACCTAAATGGGAGCTTTATCATCAGGCAGCTGTCTTAACTTGGATCAGAGACTGGATTGCCTTGAGGAGGAGGAGAATCCTTAGCTTGGAAGGTCACAATTTGCAACAGGGGTGGCACTATTATCTGAGTCAGGAAAGGCCCAAAAAACATAAATATTTTATGGACCACTTTATTCGAAAGGTTTTGATGACCATATGGGATCGAATAAGAAATAAATTTTACCTGATGACTCCGATTTGGCTTTCCCCTTTAGAGGCAATGACACACCCGACTCTTTACAACAGAAATAAACCACTAATCTACCAAGCTCTGTTGGATCCTTCAGGCAAAGTAAAATCTCGAAATATGCTGGTGGAATTAGGCTATGAGCTAGATTGGTGGTCATACAATCAGATCCAATCTAGGACAGCTCAGGATAAAAATAAAGGAGGAATCTATAATTCTCTACAGGAACTTGATAAGATCTTGTTGGGGAAGGATGAGAAGGTATTATCCAAACTCTATCAATTCCTCTTAATGGACTGAATTGGAGAGGAGGTCATCAAAGACTCAATGATTGCCTGGGGGAGAAATTTGGGATACTCGATTGAACTTGAAAAATGGGAAGAAATCTGGGGGACAACCTTAAAATTAACAATGTCAGTTTCCTATAAGGAAAATATATACAAAATGCTATATAGATGGCACCTGCCCCCGGCTAGATTATCGAAGATGTTCCCGGGGACCTCTCCGGTTTGCTGGAAATGCAACGCCGCTATGGGAACTTACTTTCATAGTTGGTGGACCTGTCCCCGAGCAAAAGAATATTGGGCTAGAATTCAAAAATGGATTTTAGAAATCATAGGATGTAGAATAGATTTGAACCCAGAAACGTTTTTACTAGGCATGAAACCAGAGAATTTAAACAAATCTAATTGGTATCTCGCTCTCCACATCATCATTGCAGCCAGGATCTCGTTCGCGCAAGAATGGAAATCTAAAAATATCCCATCGGAGGCTACGTTAATTGCAAAGATCATGGACTGTGCAGAAGCAGACAAGCTTACTGGACTTTTGCGAGATAGACAAGAATCGGGGTTATATAGGAACTGGGACAGATGGTATGCTTGGCTGCAAAAAAAGAAATCTTAAGAAGAACGAAAATATTAACCTTAATGTGAACGTGGGTAAATACTTCCAGGAGTACTGCATGACGATTGAGAATTTTTTTTTTCTGGTTAAACCTTCCTTTCTTTTGATGAGTTAGCTTAATGGAAGTTTGTACTTTCTCCAGGCGAAAATTGATACTTTAAAACTCTATATGTATTATATTACTCTCTGCAATTCTATCCATATTATTATATTTTTTCTGTATTTTTTAATAATTTTCAATAAAAATTAAAAATAAAATAAAATAAATAAAACCATCCCAAAGAAAAAGAAACGCAAGAAAGCAAAATAACTATCTGACGAAGCTTTGCAAATTGCCAAGAGAAATATCAACAACCTCAGATATGCAGATGATACCACTCTAATGGCAGAAAGTGAAGAGGAACTAAAGAGCCTCTTGATGGTGCTGGAGAAGACTCCTGCAAGTCCCTTGGACTACAAGGCAATCAAACTGGTCAGTCCTAAAGGAGATCAACCCTGACTGCTCTTTAGAAGGCCAGATCCTGAAGATGACACTCAAATACTTTGGCCACCTAATGAAAAGGAAGGACTCACTGGAGAAGAGCCTAGTGCTGGGAAGGATTGAGGGCAAAAAAAGAATGGGACGGCAGAGAACAAGGTAGCTGGATGGAGTCACTGAAGCAATAGGCATGAGCTTAAATGGACTCCAGAGAATGTAGAGGACAGGAAGGGCTGGAGGAACGTTGTCCATGGGGTCACAATGGGTCAGACATGACTTCACAACTAACGACAACAACCACGTTGGAAATAGCCCATGTTGAACTGTAGAGCTGACCAGAAGAAATGTTTATGGCATTTTGTATGATGTGATAAACAGTTTTATGATACTGTTGTGTTGTAAAATATTCTACCAAATTTGCCAAATTTCAATTCCACAGGAGTCATGGATCCCAGATTTTGGAGGCATTCTGTAGTTAGCTCATTTGAGGTATTTTGGTTCAGAATGTTTCATCTAAAGGTTACAGATGTAAGAGTTTTAGTAGTATATAAATTAAAAGTAATGTATTCAGCATGGTAGACCTTTCTGAAAATATGAAGTTGCCTTATATTTGGTGTACCTGGCTTAGCTTTGCCTATTGACCAGTGATGGAATATAATGGTATTTTTATAAGGAGATAGACATTCACTTTCAAACAAGCAGGACATTCCTCCTATATCAGTTAAGAGACCAGCTTCCTCATTAATTCACACAGGAGTCATGAGTAAGAAACTTTTAGCTATTTATGTTTATGCCTTAGGAACCTTGAAAATAAATGGAATGGTTGAGGGGAGAAGGTGTTGAGATTTCTCTCCTACCCTCTTTCAGTAGATCTTGGATAAAACACTCTGAAAGAATCTTGCTTTCCATGAGAGTGGATGGCTAAGAACTTAACCTCATTCTTTTAATAGTCATGGGCAGATGCCTTTCAGGTTTTTCCATCTAGAGATGTCTAAGGGTAAGCCTAGGATATTCTATATGCTGTACAGTAAGATACAGTGCCCCTTTATTTGATGAGTATGTTTGTTGTCACTAGTAGGTGGGCTTGTTTGCCTAATGGATGCTTTATAGAGGTAGTAGTGGAAAAAATTAAACTAAAATCAGGAAGTACAGGGACCAATACACATCTAAGCAATTATGTTCAACAATCTACAAAGATAATAACTAAATCAGAGCAAATTATGAGTAGCAAAATGTGTACATCTATTCCCAATACCTTGCTAAAAATGCAGGCTGCAGAAGTCTTCAACCAGATCTTCCCAAACAGATTGATAAAAAATTGGCCATTTTAACTTTATAAGAAAAAGAAGACATTCAGTGGTTCCTGTTTCTATGTTAATATTTTCTTTAGATCCAGGAAACTATGTATCATCAGGAGATGCAATTCTAAATAATAAGTAAATGGAGTAAAAATGCTACATAGGAATTACTGTTGTGTAGTTACAAGTGTAACAAAACAATTTAATGCAAGTAATAATCTTTCTGGAAGTTGACAAAGATGATTTTAATTATGGATATGAACTTACCGCAAGTGGCCACCTGATGCAAGTCAACTTTCGATAGGCTCTAAAGATGTAGATAATGTAAAAGATGAAGATCATAATTAAGTCATATACGCAGACAATTTCAAAGTAGCTGTATGCATTGTGATCTGTCCACTGTGAAGATCTTACACAAATGAATCCAATCAGCAACAATAACTGTAAGACAAATAGCAAAACAAAATGAAACATTTATGTGAAGAATGCATTAAAGACTACATTCCAAGAATAATAAAATGTTCAGAGTTAACAATTTTGAGAAGGAAAAAAAATCCAGCTAAAAGACTAAAAATATTCAGAACTGGAGAAGAGAAAGCATTCAGATACTTCCAAATTAGAATGGATTTTTAGAAGTTTAGAGAATTCATTCTATCTAGTTCTCATTTTGGACTAAAAGAGTGTGCTCTAAAAAGTAATCTACAGTACCTATAAGTTGTTCTTATGCAATAGTTGGAATATAAGTAGTCCTTGATTTATTACCTTAATTGAGCTCACATTTTCAGTTATAAATCATGGTAGTCATAAAGCAGGTCATCACATGACTGTACCTGATTTTATGACATTTTCTGTGAGGATTATTAAGCATACACATTATTTGCGATGGGGCATTTTTCTCCAGAAACAGAAAATGAATTCAGATCTCTAGGAACAACATCATAAATCACAGTTGTGTTGCCATGGGACACTGTGAACGGCCAGATGCTGATTGACCAAACTATAGTCATGTGATCTTGGGGAGGGGAAGATGGGTGATTGACAGAACTTCAAATCCAGTTTTCCAGGGTCTCTGGTAACTTTAAACAGTCACTAAGCAACCAGTTGTAAGTCAAGGACTACCTGTAGTGGAAATAAGTTAGAAGAAATACATAATTAGTCATAGGAACTAAGCAATATAGTAAGCAATGTTTTGAGTTTCCTAGAAAGCAGTAATGAGAATATTTATTTTTGTGAATAAGTAAAAATAAAAATAAAAAAGCACAACACAGTAAAGATGAGTGAGTTTGTTGACGATGATAAAAACTCAAGTTGGCATTTATAAATTTCTTAAGAGAAGAGATGATACAGGTAATCTTTGACTTTCAACAGTTAATTTAGTGACTATTCAAAGTTACAATGACACTGAAAAAAGTGATTTATGACCGTTTTCACACGTACAACTGTTGCAGCATCCCCATCATCACATGATCGAAATTCAGATGCTTGGCAAGTGACTCATATTTATGACAGTTGTAGTGTCCTGGGATCAGGTGATCAGTTTTTGCAACCTTCTGAAAAGCAAAGTCAATGGGGAAGCAAGATTCACTTAACCACTGTGTTAGCAGTGAAATGTGGCAAGAAAGATTGTAAAATGTTAAGATTCACTTAACAACTGTTTCCCTTAGGAATAGAAGTTTTGGACTCTATTGTGGTCCTAAGTTGAGGATTACCCATATATAGAGTGTGCATATGTATGTATTCAGTAATCTGCCCAGAATATTTGCATTAAAAAAAAAAGTCAGGGTCTATTTTTAAACATCAATAAAAATTAATAGATTTTATCATTCTTTACCTGGGAGAAAATCTCATTAAAGTCAGTGAGATATACTTCTAAGTCAGCCAGTAGCAAATTTATTTATTTAGTGCTGTAAATAAATTTTACAGTGCAGTGCTTTGGACCTGGGGACAAAAAGTGCTTCTGAGTTAATGGGGGAATCTGCTTATAGTATTGATGTACAGTTTTTAAAAAAATCAAATGAATCTTATTCCAGACTTTCTTTCTTTCTCTCTCTCTCTCTTCCTTTCTTTATCAACAAGTACAAGGAAACAAGTAACAGTATAGACATAGACACATGAAAAAAATTGGCACAAATAAAAGGATATAAATAAGCAAAACATAGCCATAAATACATAAAATGAGTACATATAAATGGGAATTGTAGGACAGGGATGGCAGGCATGCTGGTGCGCTTATGCAGGCCCCCTTAGGGACCTTTAAAGAAACGTGTAAGGTCCATGGTAGACAGTTTAAGGTAAAAGATATGGGAGTTAGAGAGACTAACAACAGGATCAGGTAAAGTGTTCTAGACATTTACTACTCTATTGCAGAAGTCGTATTTCCTACACTCAAGACTTGCACAGCTGCTGCTACTACTGCTACAGAAGGTTGCCACAAAACCCTGGAAAATGTTTTCCTTAAGGAGTTGCGGACTAGCATTATATAAGCATCTTTCTATCCTCTGAGCCTCACTTCTGTCTTTGAGTTTGAAGAAATGGAGTGAACTGTGAAATATGTTAGATCACTCAAGACACAGAGATCGGGTGACCAGAACAAAGCAGCAGCTGCAGCAGCAATTTACACCTCCTTTTAAAACAGAAAAAGACTGACTGTTCAATTCATTATCATTAGCCCAAGCACTGAAATCTGAAACAACTGCATGTTCTAATGGATCACACAACACATGATAAAATAAACTGGTTAAGAAATTACTGTTTTAACCCAAGACATAACTGCATTGATTTAAATATGACAATATATTCATGCATCCAGCTTTCCCGAATCTAATACCATCCCTAGGTTTCAGGATTTCCAATATTTCTGGCCTGGGTACTCTTGCAGTTTTGGCTCTAAACACCATTTAAGTATTTAGAAAATCTGGTTGGAAATAAGAAGAAACATGGAAAATTCAATGTATTTTTAAATTGATTACAGGTAGTCCTTGAGTTACAACCACAAATGAGCCCAAAATTTCCATTGCTAAGCAAGACATTGTTAAGTAGTTTCCCCCATTTTATGAGGTCATAAAATTTGTATTCTCCTAAAACAGCACACATGCTCCACTAATTCTCAGTTAACATGATAGAGATGCAAAATGTTTTTTTTTCCTGTTTGAACAAAGACATTTTGAAAAAGTGGGGTATTCTATTGTTGTTAGTTGTGAAGTCATGTCTGACCCATCACGACCCCATGGACAACATTCCCCCAGGTCTTCCTATCCTCTACCATCCTCTAGAGTCCATTTAAGCTCACGCCTACTGCTTCAATGACTCCATCCAGCCACCTCATTCTCTGTCGTCCCCTTCTTCTTTTGCACTCAATTTCCCCAGCATTAGGCTCTTCTCCAGTGAATCCTTCCTTCTCATTAGGTGGCCAAAGTATTTGAGTTTAATCTTCAGGATCTGGCCTTCTAAAGAGCAGTCAGGGTTGATCTCCTCTAGGACTGATGGGTTTGATCGCCTTGCAGTCCAAGGGACTTGTAGGAGTCTTCTCCAGCACCATAGTTCAAATGTCTCAATTCTTTGGCACTCAGTGATCCAACTGATGATCCAACTTTCTTATGGTCCAACTTTCACAGGCATACATTGCAACTGGGAAAACCATAGCCTTGACTATACACACTTTTGTTGGCAGGGTGATGTCTTTGCCTTTTAGTAAGCTGTCTAGATTTGCCATAGCTTTCCTCAGCAGGAGGAAGCGTCTTTTAATTTCTTGGCTGCAGTCCGCATCTGCTGCTTGGAGCCCAGGAAAATAAAATCTGTCACTACCTCCATTTCTTCCCCATCTATTTGCCAGGAATTGAGAGGGTCAGATGCCACGATCTTAGTTTTCTTAATGTTGAGTTTCAAGCCAACTTTTGCACTCTCCTTCTTCACCTGCATCAAGAGGCTCTTTAGTTCCTCTTCACTTTCTGCCATTAAAGTGGTATCATTTGCATATCTGAGGTTGTTGATATTTCTCCAGGCAATTTTAATTCCAACTTGTGATTCATCTAGCCCCTCCTTTCTCATGATGTGCTCTGCATATAAGTTAAATAGGCAGAATGACAATATACAGCCTTGCTGGACTCCTTTCCCAATTTTGAACCAATCAGTGGTTCCATGTCCAGTTCTCACTGTTGCTTCTTGACCTGCATGTAGGTTTCTCAAGAGACAAATAAGATGGTCTGGTACTCCCATCTCTTTAAGAACTTGCCACAAATTGTTGTGATCCACACAATCAAAGGCTTTAGCATAGTCAATGAAGCAGAAGTAGAACTCCCTAGCTTTCTCCATGATTCAGCGTATGTTGGCAATTTGATCTCTAGTTCCTCTGCCTCTTTAAAATCCTGCCTGTACTTCTGGTAGTTCTCGATCCACATACTGCTGGAACCTAGCTTGTAGGATTTTAAGCATAACTTTACTAGCATGTGAAATGAATGCAATGGTGCGATAGTTTGAACATTCTTTGGCATTGTCTTTCTTTGGAATTGGAATGTAAACTGACCTTTTCCAAACCTGTGGCCACTGTTGAGTTTTCCAAATTTGCTGGCAAATTGAGTGTAGCACTTTTACTGCATCGTCTTTTAAGATTTTGAATAGCTCAGCTGGAATACTATTACCTCCACTAGCTTTGTTGTTGTTCAGATTTCCTAAGGCCCATTTGACTTCACTTTCTAGGACCGTGTTGGTGAAATGGCACGCAGAGCCATGTCACTTCTCCAACCACTCGAAGCCCTGCGTAATAGCGCTGCAGCTTGCTTGAGGTAGCCGCCGTTTAGACTTCCCCCGCCCCCCTCTTTCTCTGTCTTCTCCTTGAGTTGGAGCCTCAAGGAGAAGGCAGCATGACTGAGGCTGAGGAGGGGTGGGATAGTAGCTGCACGGATCCCCTGGTGCCGCCCATGTCCCCTGCCCTGCAATAATGAAGCGCTTTGCCAAGGAAAGCAGAGTCTCTCGGGCGGGCGGGAGGCGAGATCTGGCATCGCCTCCCCTCTGGTGGCTTCTCCAACTCCTGGCTGCTCCAGGAGCAGCCTGTCTGTTACCCAGCGGAAACGGCCTGTCGCCATAGCCTGCCCCTGCCCCCCCTTCCCCGCCAGCTGGTCCGGGGGTTCTGCCGGAGAAGTGGCAGAACCGTTGTTGCTGGGGGCAAAGGGGGGGCTGGCGCAAGGATAGGCGGTCCAGGGCTTCTCTGTCTCCCCACCTGAGTGGGCTTCTGGCATGGCCCAGACCTCCAGGGGAAGGGATTGAAGCCCGTGTCTGCTGCTCCTTCCGTTGTATGGAAAGACCAATATACTGCTTGAATTATCCGTTCTCTCCCTTTCCTCAATCCTGTTTCATGGCTTCCCAACTTCCTCATCCTCTGCTTTCTGCTATTTTCTCCAAGCAGCCAAGAGAGAATGGGCTTGCAAGGTTGTCAGATGCCAGAT